CCCCAAATTTTATTTCATTTACTTTTTGACCTTGCTCTCTTCTCCTCCTCCTTCTTCTTCTTCTAACATTCCATGACATTACAATGTATTACTTAGCTCAATGCCATGCTTGATTCGCCATTCGGATCATCTTCTGAATGATTGCATTTTGATCCTCGAAGTTTTATTTTCTTCCAATTTGGTCATTTTTCGTCGCTGGTGCATACTCTTCATTCCATCCATCAATGTAATCCTACAAATACAAATTATATGAAATTAAGCAATATTTCAACATATACATCAACAATGTTCCATGTTATGTAGCCTAACATTTTAATCAAGCTACTTATTTGTTGTCATTATACTGCTCAAAGGGTATCTTATGTTTTGGCTGGTTGATCTGGGCATAATGTGATGGGTAAATCAGAGAAATTGGATGTTCTCATTATTTCTGTTACTGGGAATATATAGACTTTGTAAAATGTTGATTTATGATTCAAAGAAAGAGTGAGATGTATTTGAGAAAAAAAAACAGAGAGAATTTAGTTCACAGAGAGAAAAAAATGGAAATAAAGAGAAAAAAATTCTGCTTTGTATTATTGAACGTGAACAGATGGCATTTAGCTTATAGAAAAGAAAGGAATACAGCCTTTATTTAAACATAAGAACCGTGCGACAGAAGCTCTACAGATACACACATGGGAGGGGCAGGAAAAAATTCGAATAATTTTTAAATCAGGTGGGTCCAGCTCGGGACCCACCTCATGTGAGGGTCGGTAACACTTATGTGAAACCGACCCTCTCTACATCTGCATTAATCCTAAACATAAAGCTGAACAACAAATTACCAGAAAAAAAAAAAAAAAAAGATTGCATATAATCTGAAAATATTTGATATCCTGAGTTGTTAAAAATCTGTTGCAAGAAATCTGAATCCGAGATATCAAAGGATAACGTGCTCTGCATCAGTTTTTTTAGAGTGGACTGAATTTTGTTGAATCCAAGATATGCTTGGAGTTTCCTTATCTTGTTGAACTACCATTTTGAGTTGAATTTGTTGCCATTGGGACTCCTTCATCCTTCAACATCTCTCCATTAATATAGCATGATTTGCGAGATTTATCATCCTTATCTCTTTGGCAGTTCTGGGACTCCTTATCACTCCATTGAATCCCACAAATCATGCCGAGTTGCTGGGTTGTGCAAGTGCCTGGGTTGAAGGCACAGTTTGGTTCGAAAGTTGCTAAGTGCAGCCTTTGACATTGGTTTGGTGAAGAGGTCTGCTACTTGATCTGTTGTGGAGATGTGTTTAGTGATGAGAAGCCCAAGTGCAACTCGTTCGTGCACAAAATGGTAATCCAATTCGTTGTGTTTGCTTCGAGCATGACAAAGATCAAGTGTTGTACTAGAAGTACAGTGTAAATCTATGTTAATTGTGCCTTTGACATATCTTAAGATACAGTGAACCATTTTTAAATGCACATTATTAGGAGCATGCATGAATTGTGATGCATAATTAACACTATATGAAAGATCTGGTCGTGTGAGGGTTAGGTACTGTAAAGCACCAAGAAGTCCTCTAAAGTAGCTTGGATCTTCCAATAAAGTGGCATTAGACGAGGTCCTTGTATTTGTTTCAAGAGGTGTGCTCATCGGCTTGCAATCTACCATGTTGGCTCGTTCAAGAATGGTAAGTGCATAGTGTGATTGTGATAGGTGGAGTCCATCTGTTGCCTGGGAGATCTCGATCCCAAGGAAATGATGATTGGTCCCAAGTCCTTCATTGCAAATTCAAAGCTCAAGAGTTGAAATTGGCGGCCCCGGTTATGGAGGCAGTCCGAGTTGCAATGTTGGATCGCCGAGCAATGTGATCAAGAATCGCTTGACCTGCCCAAATTCCACAGGAATCAGTTCAATTCAAGTCGTCCACTAGAAAACCATGAATAAAGCAAAACGTAATTTTCCTACTCCTCGAACTCAAGTGTCAAACGTAGTTCTGTTGGGTGACATGGCAAAGCTATATATTGAAGTTCTAGAAAAAAATTATATTTTTTTATTAAATACACGATTGGCAATGACCCACCCCTTGAACTAGTGACTTAACCATTGAACTAGACATGCGACCTAGTGGTGGCTCGGCTGGGCCCGGCCCATGCCCGCACGAGCTCGGCT